CGCAGGCGTGTGGAGAAGGGAGAGAGGGATGGAGAGGGGCAGGACTGTTTCAGAGCATGTTCGTTGGTACCTGACTTCTGGTGAAGCGGCTAAATAGTTGGCGTTTCCTTGAGATTGCGTGTGCAGATCGCGTGCGAAGTGCGTGGCTCGTGTTACAGATAGCGAGTTAGGCATCAGTCGCCGGTACAGGCCTCCGCCTCCGCCTCCAACTGTAGCGCGATCAGCGAATATGTCGGGACGCGACGCCAACGCACCACCGGCACGCACCGCACGCACGCACGCCACGCACGCACGCACGTACGCAAAACAACACACACACACACACACACACACACACACACACAGACATACACACACACACGCACGCACGCATGCACGCACACACAGTAACGTTAGTGCCCCAGCCACGATCACTGTTTTATTGGTACCCGCACTCCAACACTCGTCATTCCCTCTTCGCTCATTTCAGTGATTAGCAACGGCAATCGTCTCCGTGCATCTTTAGTGAAAAGTTGCTATTGCATAGATATAGCGTATTGACCTTGTCCCATCGGTTCACTAACCACTTAATTACGAGCTCGTCTTGTCTTGCCCACTTGTAGGGTTTCAGATGAGATACAGTAAGACGACGCCAACTTCGAGAGATTAGAGATATAAGGGGGGGGGGGGTACGGAGCGAATGGCTACTGCTGTGAGGGTGGCCGGATGAAGTAAATGCAGGTAATTCAGTTTTGTCGGTATAATTCTACGAGCCTACGTGGGATAGGAGGGTTTGTGCAGAGTTAGATAGCCGAGCTGCGTGCAGTCGTAAGTCGGTCATAAAAACGCCGACGGATGCGGATGCAACGCTGACGTCATACTGGGAGATGCGGGGAGCAATAGCAGGTGGTGGGATACGTGTATACCGCGGCGGGAAGCGAACCCGAAGTTCGCTGGTGCGCTCAACCCCCGGCTCCCTCCTCGCGCATACGCACTGACTGACCTTGTTCGACGTGCTGTCGTCGCACCCAGCGCGCGCGCCGAAAACGCACGCTGCTGCGTTGCCATGGATCAGGATCGCCTTAGCAACGTAAATCTGGCAGTAGTCGAATGCGTTTGGTGTGCAGGCGAGGCTGAGCTGAGCTGCCTGCCGCGCATGCGCGTGTAACGTCGGCATGTTTGTTAGGCGCCACACGCGGGGGTGTCGGCGTCGCCGTGGTAACACAGCGTCACGTTTGTCGGGCAGTAATATCGAAACACGCTGATTGCTGTCTTGATGATATCCCGAGCTCTCTAACACGGGTCTCTGCACGTTCTGAGATCCAACGGCTACAAAGGAATGCTTCTCCTGATGGTGATCAACTTTTCGTGATATAGTGCATAGTTTCACGTGTTCGGGTGCATGACTACACGTGTTCAGGTGCATGACTACACGTGTTCGGGTACGTGGCTTCACGTGTTTAGGTGCATGACTACACGTGTTCAGGTGCGTGACTACACGTGCTTAGGTGCGTGGCTACACGTGTTCAGGTGCATGACTACACGTGTTCAGGTGCATGACTACACGTGTTCGGGTGCGTGACTACACGTGTTCAGGTGCGTGACTACACGTGTTTAGGTGCGTGACTACACGTGTTTAGGTGCGTGGGTACACGTGTTCAGGTGCCTGACTACACGTGTTCAGGTGCAAAGCTTCGCGTGATCAGCTGCACAGTTTCACGTGCTATGGTGAGCGGCTTCATGTGGTCAGATACACGGCTTCACGTGATCAGATACACGATTTCTCGTGATCAGATACACGGCTTCACGTGATCATATACACGGCTTAACGTGATCAGATACACGGCTTCACGTGATCATATACACGGCTTCACGTGATCATATACACGGCTTCACGTGATCAGATACACGGCTTCACGTGATCATATACACGGCTTCACGTGATCATATACACGGCTTCACGTGATCATATACACGGCTTCACGTGATCAGATACACGGCTTCACGTGACCAGATACACGATTTCTCGTGATCAGATACACGGCTTCACGTGATCATATACACGGCTTCACGTGATCATATACACGGCTTCACGTGATCATATACACGGCTTCACGTGGTCAGATACACGGCTTCATGTGGTCAGATACACGGCTTCACGTGATCATATACACGGCTTCACGTGATCAGATACACGGCTTCACGTGACCAGATACACGATTTCTCGTGATCAGATACACGGCTTCACGTGATCATATACACAGTTTTCACGTGATCAGATACACGGCTTCAAGTGATTATATACACGGCTTTACGTGATCAGATACACGGCTTCACGTGATCATATACACGGCTTCACGTGATCATATACACGGCTTTACGTGATCAGATACACAGTTTAACGTGATCAAGTGTGTGGGTTCACTTAATAAAGTGTAAGAGTTTTCCTAGCATGTGGGGATTGTACATTTCCTGTTATCACGTCGTTAGGCTTCAACTGATATCATGTGGTGCTTCCCTGGACATCACGTGTGGCATTCCGAACCCCGTGGCATTGTGCGCAGTTTCCCCTGTTCCGCTTTCGTTAACTAATGGGGCATATCGTGACATTAAGTGATCGGGCGTCTTCCGGCAGCACCCAGGTATTCTCTTGGCATGACTTGGGGGCTCGTGCCATATTGATACATCACGTGTGGACGACGTGCGTGACGGCATGTGAGACTCACGGTGTAGCACGTGGGCTTCTGCTGACGTCACAGCCTCTCTTGTTTCGGGCGCAGCGGCCGGCTTGGACGCGCGTTTGTTGCGAGCGTGTGGATGGCGTTTAGCAGCGATTATTAGGCGTTGTTACCTGCGTTTTCATTGATTTTTCGAGCAATAAAGCTGTTTAAAAGAGCAGCTTACAGCGAAAATTTGTATAATTTATCGCGATCGCACCGCTGCCGACGAAGCATTGACGAAAGGAGTTAGAGAGCGTAGGACATATAAGAAGGCTGCGCGTGGCAATCAACAAATTGTGCTGACAATCATCTTGCCCACCGTCGGAAGCTGTGCATGACAACCGCATCCCCCGGCACGTTGCCGTGGCGATGACGGCAACACACACACGCGCGCAGCACAGCCTGTGTCCGTGGGGACAAGTGCTGTAGCAAGTCGTGTGTGTTACGAGTCACTTACATACATACAATGAAGCAGAGAACACGGTTAACGTGACATCACGCTGTCGGCAGTCAGTGCGCGCATGTAGAAGATTTATTATTCGGGTACTCAATATCCGTGATGATGATCGGTAGAACCATTCAGGCTCTAAAACATAGATGTGCTTCATCGTAGGTTAATCAATGGCATTACTTCACTCCTTTACGCGCGCACTGAAATCAATTCTGTTAATATAAAATGACGTGAAGCTAGCGAATTTATTAGAAATATTGCCTTAGAGCCGTGTCTTACCTGTCGGTACTTGTGAGTAGGTTCAACGACAAGAAGATATCTAATTATATATATATATATATATAATGATATAATCAAGAGCACATGCTGTACTAAATAATGATAGGGGTTGTGCTGGCGGCATTAAGAATGTGTTGGGAATGTACTACTTACTAGGTCATATCAGAGAGGAAGCCCTTGGGAAGGTATTAGTTGACGCTTTATATTAATATATCATTATGATACATTACAACTTACGCACGGTAGGCCTACACATCTAATAGATGGTAAAGTATGCGAGATCGTGGCGGTATATGTGTGTGCGCACGTGTGTGTGCATGCGTCCGTGCGTGCGCGTGCGTGCTTACGTGTGTGTATGTACTTATGCGTGTGAGCATGTATGTGCATGAATGTGTGCGTGAATTATGTGTGTGTACGCGCAAGCGTGTGTGTGAGTGTGTGTATGTGTGCGACTGTGAGTGTATATATGTGAGTGTGCGTTTGTTGTTTGCTGTTACTTTCAGAGCCTCAAGGGCGCACCTACTGTAGGGCAACTGTGCCGGGGCAGCATATAACCCCACTTCCTCACTCGCAGAACAAGTTTTGGCTGTTTTGTCGGCCATGTTGGCTGGCTGGGCGCTCGCCGCTTATTTATATTGTTCGTTACCATGACGACTAATCATTCGCAGTAGTCTGTCACCCGATCGAGTGGGCCTGGCGGTTGTTTGGCAGCCCACGGGACTCGATCTGTCGTCAGTCGGGGATGAGAGGATAGTTAGCGCGGCATTTCGTGTAGTGAGCTGAGTGGTGAGGGCAGCAACACGGCAGCGATGCGACGTGTCCCCGCAATGTCCTCGCGACCATCGTCCGCCGTTTACTTCGCGGCGCACTGAATGCCTCGTGATCGATGCTGGTAGCTTGCTGAGCGGGTCAGCCTTCTCTTCTGTGTCGGTGGTGACATGTCGCAGTCATGACCAGCCAAACTGTAGTGCATATGATAAGAGCAACATTTCTCTAGTAGCTCTAATCAGTGGAGCAGCTATAGGTACAGCTTTTCCTATTCGGTATGTGTTTGCATGCACGCGTGCCAAGTGTCAAAGTCGTTCTATTTTTTTCGACGCTTATTTACGTGCTAACTGTCCAATTACATCCAGCCAATTTCTGTTGCTAGGTGACAGCAGGCAGCCAAGATGGCTCCAGTGCAGCGCGGGACTGAGGGTGACGACAGTGGCGACACCCAGCGGCGGAACATCGCACTCGGTCTCCGCCGCCTGAACAGACTGCCGCGCGCAGTGGCCGCGACGATGGAGCCGGCAGCGAAGCTCGTCATCGACATGGACGTCGACGACGGCGCGTCCAATCAGAGCGCGGGTAGCGACGCGAGCCTCGCGGACGCGCGCAGTCTCGTGCTGCACAACTCGTGCTTCGCCGAGCTGCGGCTCGACCGCGGGGTCGGCGGCGGGGTCGGTGGCTGCGGCGGCGGCGGCGGCGGGGCGGCCGACGATGACGAGCTGACAAGTCTCGCGTGGCTGCAGGACAGCAACCTGCTGAAGAACATCACGAGCTCGGCGGGCGGCAGCGACGGCTGCAGCCTCGACGGCGACGACGACGACGTCGAGAACGCCGGCACGGACGCCGGCGGCTGCGGCGCGCTCACGCGCCACCCGCCGCACATACCCTACAACCCGAAGACGCACGTGCACAGCAAGCCACCCTACTCGTTCAGCTGCCTGATCTTCATGGCGATCGAGGAGGCGGCGCTCAAGCGACTGCCCGTGAAGGACATCTACCAGTGGATCGTGACGCACTTCCCCTACTTCCAGAATGCACCGACGGGCTGGAAGAACTCGGTGCGCCACAACCTGTCGTTGAACAAGTGCTTCATGAAGGTCGACAAGGAGCGCGGACACGTGAGTACCGCGTGCGCGCGCGCCATCGTGCGCCCCATCAACCTCAGTCCTCATGTGTCATTCCACAGTGTAGACTTCATGGGGTCACATGCAGGGTTATCTACAAGGTAAAATACAAGGTCACATACAGGGTCATATTTGTGGTCGTATTCAAGGAGCGTGGACACATGAATACCGCATGCAGGAACATGCGTCAGCCTCAGTCATCATGCGTCATTCCACAGTGAGTGTAGACATCATGGGGTCACATGCGGGGTTATCTACAAGGTAACATACAAGGTCATGTACAGGGTCATATTTGTGGTCGTATTCAAGGTTATATGCAGGCGGTATACAGGTCATGTAGAGGCCAGCCTATTTGCATTGGTTATCCCGGTGGGCAAGCCTGTGCACACGAAGGACGTTGTCCTGTCTTCTCGGGTTACCCCAGAAGAGAGTAGCCTAGTCTTCTTTCCCTGAGTATTCCGATACGTGGCGATCTATCGTCGTGGAATTTCACTGCTCTCTCAGGATGTCTCAGAGGAGTGCTCAATGCATATTTGGGTTATCATGATGAGGGCCTATCGGAATGTATGGGGTCTTGTGTTATGTTCTCAGTCTACACCAGCAAGTCTTCTGAGGTACCAGTCCACTAGTAATCAGTACTGTTTGCCGGCAACATTTTAATAGAATATTGTTATATGTTTTTAGCTCACCTTGACATATCGTCAAGCTGAGCTATTGCCATGGGTCGTCGTCCGTCGTACGTCCGTCCGTCCGTCCGCCCGTTCGTCCGTCCGTCCGTCCGTCCGTCCGTCCGTCCGTCCGTCCGTCCGTCCGTCCGTCCGTCTGTTCGTCAACATTTGGCTACGGTCAATGATAACTCAGGAACCATTTGACCCACATGTTTGAAATTGGGTATAGTTGTTACTGCCATGCTCCCATATTGAACGTCCTATTTTGGAGCACGGCAGTCGACATACTTTCGAGCCACGGCAATTTTTGGCAAAAATGGGAATTGCATATAGTCAGTTCAGGTTCAACGGATTTTGCTCATTTTTGGTATGTGAATGAATAAGGCTAGGGGTTTTGATATTTAAAAAAAAAATTATGCAAATATGGTAGGTTTTGGCGAATTATATACATATATATAGAACAGAGGTATTGGAATATATTATTTTTTTTATTTTTTGGGATATTTTAGATTTGCGCATTAAATTAACAGATACAGTCTGTGGTGCTTCACACTCGTCGGTTCGTTTTACAAGGATTATCATTGACAATATATTTAATGGCAAAATTGGTTATTTCTTCTCCACCGACCTGCCGGATAAAACGTCTATATTTAGAGTAAAGTTTTACAAAACATGTCGGGAACACAGCATTTTAAACTATTTATTTCGAATGCCATCACTAAGTAAACATAAAAGCCGGGTATAGCGCCATCTACCGTCACAAAATTGTGATTTATTTTTGGTTTATAAATTATTATTGGCGATTATACAGAAGGCACTCGTTCTATTAATGTACTGTCGATGGTTGCCTCAATACAAACTTGAGCTTCTTCTCACTCACGTTCAATTTGTGTCCTTTTTGCTGGTGAGGCCTACAGGTACATTGGCCACTTTCATTTATAGATCATTTTTTGATGGTCTAAATTATAACCTATAAACTTTCTTAACCTACCAATATTGCACGCCTAGTATAATGAGCGAATTATTACGAATTATAGCTATAGGCATACAAGCTAATATCAGTCTTGTGTTTTGGAAAAAAGCAGTGCGAGTGAAAACAGTTCAGCACACCTGCTTGCCTCGCCGGAGTGTGTTGATTGTGCATGCGCAGTGGCAAACTCCCCCCCCGCGCAGGTCACGAGGCCAAACTAGGGGTGTTCGGTGTGCATATGCCCCCCGGAAAAAAATTTTGAAAACATAGACTTCATGAAATGCCATTTCAAGCATTTTTGGGCTAAAAATTAGCTTCTGCATTCCTGTACTATAATTTTGACAATTTTTTAGGTGATTTTTTTTTCATCTAACAAATATTCAGTTTCTTGGACATGTGGATACATTGAATCAACATTTAGCATGTTTAGTCAAAAAAGGGAACAACACCATATTTTTCAAAGTAGACTATTAAAAACTTTATCTAAAAATACAACCAAAATAATCACATTCGTACATTCTAGAGCGCTTTTTGTGCGACTGTCGTTAATAGAACGATGTGAACCGACTTCGGCAATGTCTGCTGATGTTTAGCACCACTTTGCGTCTTCTTCTTCGCGTTTATAAGTTGAATTAATGGAAAAAAAAAAAAAAAAAAAAAAAAAAAAAGCGTGTGCACGTTTTGATAATGCTTAGGATGCGCGTTTTTTCTGCCACTTACTCGTGTATCAACGTAGGCGCCGATGGGCGCGCGATCGCGCCTCGCTGCACCTTCTTAAAACACAAGACTGAGGCTTATATATGTGTACGAAAATCACATGCACCCCTATACTCCAAACAAATTCATCAATATGGAAGAATTGTGTTTTGCAATTATTAATTGGCAATGTGAGAGACAATTCTTCTAAATGAGCAGCTGGCAGTTGTTCTAGGCGCGGAAATTTTCTGATGTCCTCCATGCATGGATTAATTTTGATCAGATTACAGACTGAGAATTTGTGTGTTTGCACGACGTTTTATACACGCATTTTACGCGGTTTCGGTGTATAGAATTAGAATAGTGAGCGTGATACATTTTCTGTAAGCATTTCAGCATTTGTTTCTAAGATCCCACAAATAGCAATGGCACCACAATATCAGTCAACTAACGCCACTTGCCCCGATATCAGTTAAGTTGTTAATACTCTTATACATCATTTTCAGAGCGTATAATGACTAAATACGTATTTGTCATGATTATCGCTCTGATATTTTATTATTCGTGTATTTCTATCATGCTATAAAATTTTGATAATTAGGATGAATTCCAAGTTTAAAATAAGTAGCGATTGTTATTATTGTGTCCTTCTTTCTGCTTCAGATCAGTTCTGCCATGGCTCTTACGTCTAGTGTTTTAGAAGCACGTTTAATTCTCTGTGCATATCGCAAATAGTAGATATAGCAGGTCAACAGCTGAAGGTTTCGTGAATTCTTGAGGCATATCTTGTGAAAAATCGCAGACATGACAATACACAGTACGCGTGATCTTGCCCAGCCCATTGTGAAGGGCCACGATTGCGAATGCACTTGTGTGATATAGAACGCCGCGCATGCCGATTGAATGTATTTTTACAATCATCGAATGGCACGTATTTTTACCGGCTGAACGTCAAAGCGATTTAGCTGGTTTTTATAGTTTGCCGTGTGGGGAGGCGGGTTGGGGCGGTTGAGGATGCGTTTGTAAGGATAACTACTGAAAGAACAGCCGAGGAAGCATTAGGCTAATAGAAGCAAACTGCGTACAAGGTTTCTCAGTGGAATGAATGGCAAGCGCGGTCTTTAATTAGATTATACAGCGAAAAATGAACTGTTTTGACAATTAAAGATAGATTTACATTTTTATAGGGTGAATGGTTTCGAAGGTATTGAATACATCTTAGATGACATGGTGAAATTAGCCTTTATCAGGATACTGGTGATAAGAACAGCTTGCATCAATACCAAAGAGCTGAAAAAGCATGATTATAGTGCGAATTCAGTAACATCATGCTGTATTCTCATGAGCTCTAAGCCGCTCCACAAGAAGATGAATCGTTACTAATCCGAAGGTGCACTGTTATAGTTGGCGGTCACACTGAACTTTGATGTCTCCGTATAGCGCATGGTTGGCAGTCACTGCATGTGCAGTTGACTTTTAACAAACTTGGTAGCAATCACGTAAACATCGTTAGCAAAGTGTGAACGTTGAAAGTGATTCAACTCGTCAACGTTTTAACTAAAAGTAGATAGTGTTATACCCAGCATGACCCGTCGGCATGCCGCCTCATACATATGTATGTTCACACTCAGGCTACGTGCGGGGCCTGCTCCGTGTGAGGTGAAGCGTGCTACATGGCAGGAGAAACGCATGTAGTAGATATGGCATGTAATTACAGTTTGTAGCATCCTAATCAGTTGTCCTCGTTTAGCGTGAGATCTGCACCGCGTGTGGCTGCATCGGATCACGAACGTGGTGGTCACTATTCGAACGTGAGATATAACAACAGTAAGTAATAATAGAATTGTAATTATGCCCTTGATAGAAGTTGGCAACATAGAAGTGGCCGCCATCGTAGCGAGCACGAACAGGCACACGGAAAAACTGCGAAGAAAGGCTTCATTCAGTGCTGGATTGCGATCGGCAGGTCTCTGAGAAACTGCGCTAGCTGTAACCACAGCCGGGTTATGTTGGGGCCGGTTCCAAGTTGAAAGGCTGGCGGTTAGCGGCTCGGCTCGGAGGAAGGTGAAGAAAAAGGACATAGGTATGGTAATCAGATACATCGTAAGAGATGGTTCAATGTGTCTGGGTAGGAGTAGCGGCGTTGATGTGTAAGTTTAGGGCAGGGATTGGGCTTTTAGGTCATGGGCAGAGGATGTATGACACTTGGGAGAGTAGTATGGCCTGTGAGGGTTGGTAGTGTATGGGGGACGCCCTGCGGGTGTTAATAAAGAGGACTAGACTGTCATGAGAGGCCTAGCATGTGTAAGAGGAGGACTAGAGGCTGTTCACTTCGAGGGTATCGGAGACAAGACGGTTGGTCAGAACGGTATTATAGACCGGATAAAGTTCAATATAGTACTTGGTGTCATAAAGGTTAGCGGAACCGATATATAGTTAGATAATATCTATTAGTAAGTGCTTGGTGGGGTGGTCTATTGTTGGCTGAATGGAGGGTCTACGTATAACATAGGCAGAGGGTTAACGAGCGTGGGGGGGGGACTAAAAGGCGTGGCGGAGGGGGAGCAAGTGGGTACGTGTTGAGGGGTGCGTAGCATGGTGTTGGCAGAGCAGGGCGGATCTAAGGCTCACTGGTTGCCCTAACAACTGACAGGCAACTC